AAGCCTGAGTTACAGGAAACTCATTCTATGTTTTTTCATTAATGCCATCTGGGGAAACAGTCCTTAACTTTCTTATCCAAAACATTTCCCAAGCAAGTCTGTCGGCCCTTGACCAACCCTCGTTGAGGTCTATGATAGTGATGGTAAGGTTTTTGAGATCAGCTTTGGCGTGCCCAGGTAATCTCAAATGACGACTTACGGGGAGGTCGGGCTTGCAGGTGTAGTCACTTCGATGACCATTCATGCGTTTGTTGAATGGCTGTTCTGTCTCGCCAACATACTACATGCCACATCGACACTGAAGAAGGTATACAACATTCTGGGTTTTGCAAGTTACATTGCAATATATAGTGTATGCGGACCCAGTAGAGTGGCAAGTAAATGTTTGAGTATTCAGTATTTGTTGGCAAGTCAGACAACGTCTGCTACCACACGACTTGCACCATCCTGCAGTTGAAGAGCTTTTATGATATAGGTACGTCTAAACAAGTGACAACTCTACGACAGATCCATCAATTGGATCACCAGTGAAGGTGATACACGGCTGAAAACACATATTATATTCATAATTACTCTTAATATCAGCACAACAATGTTAAATCTGCAAATTTGCGGAAAATTTTTTTGTTCTTCCCTCGCCGGGATTCAAATATGCATGAATTCGAATCCCGGCGAGGGAAGACCAAAAATTTGCTACCGCAAATTTGCAGATTTAACATCGTTGTGCTGATATTTAGAGTAATTATGTATATATATAATGTATATATAATTCGTCTAAATAACAGCTCAACAATGTTAGATCTGTAAATTTGCGGAAGCAAATTTTTTGTTCTTCCCTGGCAGGGGTTCGAACTCATGCTACTGAGATATCGTGGCACCAAATCGCCTTGCACTATGTCCGGCGCGCTAGACTACTCGACCACCTAGGCTCGATAAAATCAAGCTTTCGGTGGCCGGGTGTTACATTTCCTCGTCAGTTTTTATCTAGCGTCGTAACACAGTACATGATATATAAGGCATGAAGATGGAATATTACAGATCAGCTAAATTATCTATCGTAGAGGATCTTACAAATTAATGTAGGATACAGTCACAGAAATAATTATATTATAAGTACGTCTGAACCAGTGACAACTCTACGACAGATTTTATCCATCGGATCACCAGTGGTGGTGATACAAGGCTGAAAACACATTCTGTTTATATAATTCGTCTAAATAACAGCTCAACAATGTTAGATCTGTAAATTTGCAAAAGCAAATTTTTTGTTCTTCCCTGGCAGGGATTCGAACTCATGTATATATATATAAACAAGTCTAAATTGAAAACAAATTTCTTGGTAGAGGGGTCTAAAAACAGCACAAACAACATTTTCCAAAAGACCAAACAAGTGAAAAAGTATATTTAACAAAACACATTTGACTAGCAGATCGAACAACAGATGCTCTTAAATCCTGCTGACTGCCATGGCGATTGCCAAATAAACGGATCACAAGATGTAACAAAATGGATCTTAATTATTAATTTAATACCAAACAGAAAACAATAAACTTGCGGAAAAGATGGTATACCGCAAATATAAGGTGCAAAAATTTGATACACCATATCCGGATTTCGACAATTAATGTCTCTTCAGTGATGTTAGGAATCGAAACGGTATTTGGAAGGCCATATAATTTACCTCAATTTAGGATAGACTCTTGAATTTTGAACAGTCGAAATAGGATGAACGGATTATATAAATCCGAAGTCAAATATAGAACAAGCCCAAACCAAAAAATATAAACAAGTCTAAATTGAAAACAACGTTCAAACCTATGATTGCGTTGGATAAAAACCGCAATTTTTATACGTGTGCATGCAAAACAAATTTCTTGGTAGATGGGTCTAAATACAACACAAATAACATTTTCCAAAAGATATAACTACTCTAAATATCAGCACAACAATGTTAAATCTGCAAATTTGCAGAAGCAAATTTTTGTTCTTCCCTCGCCGGGATACGAACTCATGCTATTGGGATATCGAGACAACACCGCCTGCACTGTGTCCATCGCTCTAGACCACTTGGCCACCTAGACTATTATATGTATATAATAAAAACTATAACACAATTTTCCATACGTTTCGGCCATTATGGTCTTCTTCATTAGAATAAATTACAACAATGTATATATATATATATATATGTGTGTATATCGTTTATCCCGTTTATGTTTGTTTCATTTTCTAATATCGTTTATCCCGTTTATGTTTGTTTCATTTTCTAATATCGTTTATCCCGTTTATGTTTGTTTCATTTTCTAATATCGTTTATCCCGTTTATGTTTGTTTCATTTTCTAATATCGTTTATCCCGTTTATGTTTGTTTCATTTTCTAATATCGTTTATCCCGTTTATGTTTGTTTCATTTTCTAATATCGTTTATCCGGTTTATGTTTGTTTCATTTTCTAATATATACAAATAATTGTACAGATGAAAAGGTGTTTTTCAGCTGATGTTCCTCCCTCATGTGAAAGCCGATGATTAAGCATTTTCACCCACTTCGAACAGTTTTATAATATTGTAACATTGTAATACGCATGTATTTTAAATGTTTTTGAATAATTTTGCAGTTTGCATTTTGCCCCCTTAAAAAGAAAAGATTGCTAAACGTTTTGACCCGGACATGAAATATATTTGGTTAATTTGTCACTACCTTTTTCTAGTTGTAGTTTCAACATGATAAATATAATTTACTTGCATTGTATATGCTAGTAAAAGTGCAGATTCATTATTCACAAAATTCATTAAAAAAAAACAAAACGCTGATATAATTTTTGTCCGTCTAACACTTCTTTTTTCAAACTTTTGAGGAAATTAATATGAACTTTACCCAGCATTTAATTAGTATGCGATCTTATTTCTAATATTGCATCTTTTGATTACAACCGGAAGCAAGAAGATATACAACAATTATTCGCGACGTCACAGTTGTACCATAGTAGCGACGTCGTCGTTGAGGAAAAAGTTTCAACGATACACTCACGAATTTTGAAGCACTGTTCTTTTTCTTTAAAAATAATTTTCGCTGATCGAACGAAAACAGAAAGAAAAGCGTATAAAGGTAAGAAAATATCCTACTTATAACATACAGTTACTTATAAAAAAATTTCTTTTGATATCTTCATGTATGTCTATGCTTATTTCGCCCCTGGAAAGTCTTTCTATTCTATATTATTTTTCTTTGGAGACGTGTAGATGTTAGATATATCTACTGCGACTGATTCTTGTTTAATGAGAAATGACTAAAAGTGCAGTTATTTACTGACTACATCACCGAAAATACAATACAAATGTATAAAATCAAAGTTTACAGAATATAAGGATGACTTTTGTGATCAATTTCATTTTGTTCTCAAAATTCATTGACATGCCCGCAGTAAATCAGGCGGTAACAACTTGCGATTAGTCCTTTTCCTATAACGAGGGTCTGGATGGGGGTCTGTTGTGATCTCATCAATAGACAGTTGAGCGGCGCGCTATACTGTACGTCTAGTAAGCGGACTTCACAACAGGGTCCTTCATTTCTGTAAATTTCTTTAATTTTTCAGGTAATTTTTCTCTATTATTTATATTTTTTGCCAATTACTCTCTATTTTATAAGCACCCCATTATTTTCTTCTTTTTTTAAACTTTTTTTTCTATATTTATTTGTTTAGCCCTTTATTCTGCACTTTTTGCCTATTATTCTCTATTCTGTACACCCAATCCATACCATCTATAATGCTAACTGATGTCCCACACGCGGTACACCTTGAAATTAAAGAGTTCAACCATTTTCCCTTGTCAACTATGTCAGGATGTTAAATGAATATTAGATGGAACCATGGAGCATGCTTAAATTTCAAATGTCATTTTGAGACATTGACTCTTTTAATAACTTTGACCTTGAAATCAAATAAGATATGCAACAGTTCATGCCATGGAAATCTTTTGCTAATATTTGATGAAGGCTGGACACAAGCATAAAGATCACCAGTGTGTAATCGCGATGAATAACATGATACATAGACAACAGTTTCTTTACCCCTTTTCCAATTTATTACCTTTGTAGTAGATAACAATGACAACATGTATAAACTGTACACTACTGGTGGCCTACCTTTATAAAAATCTAGATCCGCGCCCGTATATCTAGTGCGTGTTCACTTGAAAACAAAACTAGTTTTTGCATTATTATAGCTTTTCGGTACCGTTTAAGTATAGAAAATACTTTTAGTACAATAAACAAATCTAAAAATCTAAGACGAGGAAAAAAAGCTAACTATAGATAAACAGACATTATGTAGATATTAGATTGATTGATCGATTGATCATTAATTATCAGTTTGATTGCAAATAGTTCATATAAAAAATAAGGAGATGTGGTATGATTGCCAATGAGACAACTATCCACTAAAGTTCAAATAAAGTGGATGTAAGCAATTATAGGCAACCGTACGGCCTTCAACAATGAGAAAAACCCATACGGTATGGTTATTTACTTAATGGTTTAATCGGGATTCAAATGCAGAATTTTCAACGGCATTGGTAAATGAAAACATGTTTTATAGGGACAGAAATATTGCCTTGTAAGAAGCTTCACACGGACTCTACACTGGAGTTGTTGCAATAGTTCTTGAGTGAGCGTGGTATATTTTTAACATATGGCTTTTCATTTTACGTTCCGATTCCGACCGGACGCGGCTGCGGTACAGCCAGACGGTTGCCCCTTGTCGGGAGTCGTGACCCTCAGATACAGAAACTGGGACCGATTTCTATGGCTCGGGGTTCCTTTTTGGTCGCGTAGGAGTGGGGGTAGAGAATACACAAGTACTATATATATAGGTAAACTGCATTTCAAATCAATCTAGAGTTAAATGAAAGCAGTCGAACAGAAAATTTCATTTTTATTTTAGTCATGGATGATTTGGAACGCCCCTTTCCGCTGTTAGAAGCTGCAAAGAAAGAGCTTATCATGCAATATAAAGAAAAGGCGGAGTCTAGTCAAGAATTGGAATTTTGGCAGAGGATAGAAGTTGTCAGGGAGAATTACAAATCTCCAACAGATGTTACTTCTGATGAAGAAATAACAGGTTTGCATTTATTTATTTATTTAAATTTGGTAGAAAAGAAAAAAACGAAAAGGGTGACCAAGGGATTTTTTTTATTTTTTTTTTTGGTGGGGGGGGGGGGGGGGGGGGGTGTTAGCTCGATTAATAATCTTGAAAACTTTTACTTTTGCATTTGTAGTACAAAACAGTTAATCAACCAATTCAGAAATGGTTTTGCATCATGGAAACGTCACAGTTTTTGACGTTATAATGGATTTGTCAAGTCGTCATTTGAGAATACGAAGACGAAACTCGAATTTTCAGCACTCCTTATAAATTGCATATATGTAAGCTTTCCTATCATAATCATGAGAATAGCGCTCTTATATTGAAACATTTGAAAACAATTGATCAATGAAGTTTTTAGTTTAAGTATATGAGTATTAGGTTTATGTTTTATCACCACCAACACCAACTCTATTTATAATCTTTTGAAAAATAGTGAGAGAAAAATCGACTGAAAATAAGAAAACGGACGAAGACAAAGTATTAAAAACAACTATATGCGTGAATATTGAAAAGGAAAATGGAGCAGGTGATAATACAGATTTAGCAAAGAATACATTGATATATCAGAAGAATGGTTTGAAGTATTTGCGTAAGTAATCGGATGAAAACCGAAGCGCCATATAAGGGTCTGGATTTGGGGTCCTTCAATTCTATTTTCTTAAAATTTTTTAGCCATTTTCTCTAGTCTTTATAAATTTTACCCCTTATCTCTATTCTTTATATTTCAGTACCCCACTATTCTCTAATTTTTACTTTATTTGCCTATTTTTCTGTAACATTGGCTTATTATTCTCTCCATCCAGACCCTCACATGCATATGCTTTGAAACGAACCAACTTTGAAACTTTTAGATACATACCAGATCGACTGATCGATTTTTTTTACATTACTTTCATCCGACAAAATAAATAGATATTTAAATAAATAATAAGGAACCCAAGTCTGTTATGACAGTCTTACATTCTCTTTTGAATTTTCTTTTTCTCTTTGTCATTCCGTTTTGCTCATTATTGTTGAGGACCGTCCGGTGATATACAGTTTCGATCCTCGTCCTTTAGTATTTGGTGAATATTTGTCTCATTGGTAATCATACCACAGCTCCATATTTTTAAATCATAGCGAGTGACTTCTGCTTTTGCAATTACCCTTTTTACGACAAGAATCTTAGAAACATGTTGTTTGTTGGCTTGTCACAAGGTTTAGCTAGCTATAAAAAAACAGGTTTGGTCCACCATTTTCTACATAAGGAAACGCCTGTACCAAGTCAGGAATATGACAGTTGTTTTCCATTCGTTTGATGTGTATGAGCTTTTGATTTTGCCATTTTGTTAAGGGACTTTCCGTTATAAATTTTCCCTGTAGTTCGGTATTTTTGTTATTTTACTTTTTTTGTAAAGTATATAAAAACAGAAGAAGTCTGGTGTCCATACTTATACACCATATGTACCTTTTGTTGTTATTTCCTCATAAAATATATAATATATATATGTATATATATGTTACAGTACAAATTGGAATTCAGAAAGGTTCTATAATCCCCCAAGTACAAATTCGAATTCTGATTTATACTATTTGAAATCATGTACAAATCAGATTCAAATATTTACAAGTAGAAATTGGGATATCCAGATTTGTACTAGGAGGATCCTGGATTGTTCTAGATAATTACTTTAAAAGACACACTAATAACCGTTACAATATTTTGATTTACTTCATGATGAAATAAACGTATAAGCATTTTTTTAAACTTGTCTGAATCAAAAGTTAAAGAGGTAGAACCTGAATTTATTTTACTGCAGATCTTTACCTAGAAGTCCTTCGATCTTAACTAAAAGTCATAACTTTAAGGTTTATATATACACTTCGGTGTGTTTCCGAACATTTGATCCCTTTATGTGCATATCCCAAGTCAGGAGCCTGTTGTTGTGTGATTGTCAATGGTTCATGTCGGCCATATTTGTTATTCGTAAATTGTTTTGTTATAAATAAGGCTGTTAGATTTCTCGTTTGAATTGTTTTACATTTTTCATGTTGGGACCTTTTATAGTCGAATATGCGGTATGGGTTTTTCTCATTGTTGAAGGCCGTACGGTGGCCTATAATTGCTTACACCCACTTCATGGACTCTGGTGGATAGATGTCCCATGTGCCATTATACCACACCACCTTATTTTTATATGTCTACTAAGTTTTAATTTGATGTGACCATACACTCCTTTTAACCAAATGTTAACCCAATACGAAACGAACGGATGGACGGACGAATAGAGCGGAAAAAGATAATGCTCCTCTACTGTCTTAGACCGGGCATACAAAAAGGTTTTAAAATTCTATTTACAGGACACGAGGGAACAGTTAGACCACCGAAAGTAGAAGAGGACGAGAAGAATCAGGTGGAACAATTCATCAGCGGTATAATCAATGATGCCGTTGATGAATACAGCACCGAATTCTGGAGGGCCTTGGAAGCCAAAATCCAGGAAAGTACAACAAATTGTGGAGAAGAAGAACTGGACACCGATATAGATTCAGAGGAGAAAAACAAATTTGAAGCAAGAGAGTCTAAAAAGGAAAAGAAATTAGAAAAAATTGAAGCCAATGAGGAAATGAAACTAAATTTACAGGAGACCTTAGAGAAAATGAAACTGCAGACAACAGAAGCAATTAAGAAAACAAACCTTGATTCAAAGCAAACAAAAGAGAAAAAGAATCAGGAAGCAAAGAAAGCAAGAGAGATAAAGAACCGGAAAGCAAAAGAGTTAAAACAAAAATTGAAGTTAGAAGCCAAAGAATCCAAACAGAAAACGAAGCTTGAAGCTAAAGAATATAAGGCGAAAAAGAAGCTTGAAGCTAAGGAATGCAAAGAGAAAAAGAAACTTGAATATAGAGAGAAAAGGAAGCTTGAGGCAGAGATATCGAAAGAGAAAAGATGAACAAAAAGCAGTTAAAAGAAGGAATTTTGATGCTACAAGAAGCGACAGAAATAAGAAAATTAGAAGGTAATGAATTTCAGGATAAAAGGATACTAAAAAAATAGGAATTAAAAGAAAAAGAAAATATGAAAATAAATGACACGAAAGAGAAAACAGTTACAGGTAGGGTATCAAAAACAAATTTTTATAAATGTGGGTTCAATCTTCACTATCAATCTAGTATTTATTGAAAAAGAAAGCACGGATGCACATGAGAAGAATGTGATGAAACTTTTTGATACAATAGGTATACTACATCAGCGATTCTAATTCCTACATAATATTATGTTCGAATTTTTGTTATATCAGTCTACTAATAATGCTTTTTGTTTCAAATTAACAACCAAGTGAGAGTTTTTTCCCTCTCAAGTTTTTAAAAATAATTTTTTAAAAATTATGAGAAATGATTTATCTGCTTGTACTATATCTTGACCTCTTGCTATCTTATTGAATCGCCTTTTGTTTAAAAGATGTTAGTAAATTAGAAACAAAGCTGTATAGAAAAGCTGTAGGTCTAACATGGAAGTAATATTTAAATTCAATATTACTTCCATGGGTCTAATAACTTGATTTTTCTTTCAAAATTTATTTTGCAGATGGAGAAAAACCTGTAAAGAAATCAAAGTTTGGTGATTTTATCACAAACCTGTTTTCATGCTTCAGAGTTGACAGTAAAACCTCCTCCTAGAAAACAACCTATATGTTATAACCACGTGGTTATAATGTTGATGAGACGTTGTCTATTGACTTTTTTAAAAGTTTTTATTTATTATTGTTTGAATTGTACATACGTTTTATTTTATTTTGTCACATTAAATAATTACAAAGTGTGTTATTTTTATATCACTAAAAGCAATGATATAGTTCGTACATTTTTACTACGAAAATACGTGCTCGCCAAATTTTGTCAATATAACGGAACTATAAACAACTGTTATACAAGTGGAGGATTTAGCTAGCTATAAAATCAGGTTTAAAATATGAAAACAAAGGAGTGATCAGGAGTTGTACGAGTGTAAGATTACATTGTACTTGCTTGAAAATATTGTGTAGAAGGGGAAAGTTCTCTTTTGTAATAAAAGTCAGTAAAAACGTGCCTCTCTTTGACAATTGAAATATATTTGGTAAAAGAGGCAATGCATTTCACACACTAGTCTTAAATGTTAATTTTTACTAAAACTCACGATGTCTTTTATGAACAAAAATGTGATAGATAAAAAATACAGTTTTCGTCGGATATTCTTCGGTGCAAAAAGATGCGAACAATTTCCCCTGTATTTTTTTTTAACTTGCAAGCTAAATATCTAAAATTTTGCATCGCTAACCAAATCTAATTAGTTTGAATCCGAAAGACATTACATTATAAACCTTCTTTATCATGGTGAATTGGTAATAATTGTGTACTTTTGAACTTAATTCTTTGAATAAAGAAAGTCTGTGGTGTAATTTACAACGCACAAAAATATGTTTGACTCGCATTTTTTTATGTGCCTGTCCCAAAGCAGGAGATTGTAATTTAGTGGTTGTCGTTCGTTGCTGTGTATCATATTTGTTACTCGTTTGTTGCTTTGAGCATAATTAAGGCTTTTGTTTTCTCGTTTGGAATGTTTTACATTTTGATATGTCTTAGCCTTTTATGGCTTGCTTATTGCAGTATGGGTTTTGCTTATTGATGAAGGCCGTACGATGACCTATGGTTGCTATAACATCTACGTTTTTTAATCGAATATTTTTACGTTGAATGCAAACGATATGAACCTACGAAGTCTTATATCATAGGACTAGGGGTGGAGTGAATTTTTTTATAAAACAATAAAATATACATAATTGAGTTTGAATCAAGTTGAAATGACAACAAATTTCTACATAGATAATATTTTTATTCAAATGATACATACATTGTACCTCGAACACTTAAATCGTCATTTCTCTGTAGACCCTACATTGTTTAAGTCGGTGCGACTTTATCCACCAGCAACATATGTCAACAACAAAAAAACTTCGGATTCTTGCTTTAAGACGGTTCACATTTTCTTTACTGTGAGCTAGAGCTAGTTTCGACCTTGGCGTATTATTTTTAAAATTACTTCGTTGATGAACTTATCACTACAAAGTACTTGCAAAATCTTCGTTCCCGTGAAAACTAAGAGTTGTTTAAATTTCAAATTTCATTAAGGAACTGTCTGACGGGCTTCAAAGTCGACAGGATTAGAGGTCAATGTATTCAGATTAATTTAAGTTCTGTGGGTAAATGTCTGGTTAAAAAAATATCTTATTTTTGATGTGCCGCATTAGCATCCCTATAAAGTAAGACAGTCCACGCATGACTCATGACAAACGATATTTTATGCATTTCATTGGCTATTTTCTAGCAAAATCCAGACTATACTATATCAATTAACGTGTCTGAAGACGAATTTGTGTAAAATATTTTTGTTTGATTTTAATCTCTGAAAATTTAAATAAACTGAACTCTTGAACAGATCTTTTCGGGACGTCGGGTTGGGCCTATATTTTTGTGTGATTTCGGGTTTTACTCCTATTGGGACTAGGGAATCAATGATTAATTTTTCGGGATTCGGTATAAAATGCTTTATTTTTTCGGGATTTCGGTATTCAGCTTTTTTTCCCGGAAATTCGGAATGACACCCCTCTTACCCCTCTCTCACTCTCTTCAGCAGGTAATGTTGAGGAAAAAGGAAAATCATCCTGTATGAGAATTTGAATTTGTTAAATATTTGCAATTTTTATAAAATCACAAAACCTAAAGATTTTTGTAGTTCTTTATGTGGAATGACTACAAAAAGGGGGTGTATACGACTTCACAATCTAAATCTATAATTCAGTCATGTTCGTTACTCAACACTTTTAATACTGACAATTAGAGATATCAATATATTTTTTTTTCTTCAAATATCGAATACTGGTTCCCAACTAAATGTCTAAATATATCTGGAATATTTTCCCTCATATTGACAGCTATATGAAGTCAGTTCATAGTAGCCTGGGATCCTGGCCCACTGCTCGACAGTAGACGAAGTATTAGATTGGGTCAGAACGCCAGGCTAAGTTCATAGGACCTCGTTTAATATAGGCGTGGCAATCCATCACTTTAATCCAATCAACTGTCCTTTAGGATAAATATTGGCGTGCGATTGTAGTCGAAACAATGTAATTTATATAATGACATTGTAATAGTTTTAGGACACAGTTACATCAACATCAAAAGGTAATGTACTTTATTGTGGAAGCTGTGGACTACTGGTTCAAAATAAAATTGATTTCAACAAGTTGCTTTGTTTTTGTTTTTGTTTCAAGAATATTCTATTTGTTCGATGTTAAATTTTCAATTATTCATTTGTATATTATTTGAGTATGGTTAATTATATTAATGTAAATACAGTGATATGAAATATAGTGTCAGAACTCTTAACTGCAGATTGTTGAATTTTACATCAATGTTTTAACGAAATGGAAAATATATACTTTTAATTGCATATCATAACTGATAAGTAGCAATTGCAAATTACAAAATTCTTTTATTATTTAAAAAAGAAAAGAAAGAACTGATAACTAGAATAAAATGTTTAATTTCTCAAAATAGAGTGTTGTTTGCAACTACAAAGTAAGTGCCAGATTAATCAAATTGATTTGAAAACAGCATTTTTATTTATATTTAATATATTCGTTTTCTTAACTTTTTGTAGAATAGATGAAAATGCAATTTATTATAGAAGCTCACTATACTACAAACATGATAACAAAGTACAAGAAAATAGGTATTTCATAATATGTTATAAATGTATTAACAGTCATATATTAAGATGTATATATATATTTGTGGTATCCTCTGAATACCAATACTATTTCTGACAATCTCAAGTATTTTTATTACTGTTACAGTGTATTAGTTTTTTTGTTTTTTTTCTAAAGGGAGATAATTCAAATTGATTACCTCCCCTAGGCTACTTCTCAGCCCACATGTTAGTATTTTCTTTCTAATATTTCTAATATACTTATAAAAGCTTTATACAACACAATATATTTGAAGTCATATAAAAGATATTTGTCAAGAAATTAATAAGGCCTACATGAATAAAGATTAAAATTTGAGGGATCTTTTTTCACCAGCTCATAACAATCATTTCACACATGTCATCATTACAAAGAGAACTAACTGTCTCATCATGGAATGTTCGTGGTCTTGGGGATAAATACACTGAAGATTTATTTATTGATACTATCAAATCTGATATAAATTTTATATTAGAAACATGGAAAGGAGAGAATGCTGAAACTCAAATTGAGAATTTTGTTTCTATTTCAAAGTGCAGAAAAAAACAAAAAAAATCTAAAAGACACAGCGGCGGAATTATTATATACATTAAAAAAGAAATTTTCAAGGGAATAACTAATTTATCTAAAGCATCTACATCTCCAAATAGAATATGGCTTAAACTAGATAAGTCCTTCTTTGGATTTGAGAAAGATTTATTTTTATGTGCTGTTTATATTCCCCCTTATAATTCTACTCATTTAGATGATGATTTTCAGAACTTAGAAAATGAAATAGTTAAATTTTCAGTTAAAGGTGAAATTGCATTGATAGGTGACTTTAATGCTAGAGTAAGTGATCACACAGATTTTATCAGTCAAGAATCATATGACTCCCATGTTTTACAAGATATTTTACCACCCAACTATGATGATGATATATTTGTCGAAAGAAATGGTCAAGATCAAACTTCAAATTGTCATGGAAAATCACTTTTAAATATGTGTATATCCTCAAGACTGCGGATACTAAATGGTAGATTTATAGGTGACTCGTTGGGTTATTTTACTTGTTATACTTTTAATGGTTGTAGTACTGTTGATTATGGTCTTGCTAGCAAGGACCTCCTGTCCTCAGTGAAATATTTTTTTTACTAAAAGTCCTAATTACCTCTCTGACCATGTTC